TTTTTCCTCTTTAGTTTTTCCTTTGACTTGTTCTTCCCATTAGTTTGTTTTACATTTATTTTGTTTTGTGCAGACCCATGCAAAAGCATTTTGCTTTGTGAAGTGCGTTCCAAGTTGTCACCATGCAAGTATTTTTAAATCCTTCTCAGAACGAGCCAGATATGAGACCTCTTCAGGCACTTCAGCCTAAAGTTAAAGCAACTGGACATTTTCCAGAGGTCATCCTTAGGCCTCTTTTCTTCCCTCCGAGTCACTTCTGGGTCGGGTGCAGGAAAAGCAGGTGGTGGGCTTCTGCCTGCTGGGGGTTTTCGAGCCTCCCACCCTCTTGTTCTGTCCAGCCAGTTCTCACTTCCCTTGGGTTAGGTAATTGTGAAGATTACATTAGGTAGTGGTCATGCACGGGACACTGTCCAGGCACATGGTAATTTTCTGCTTTCTGTCACAAGCACTCTGTTCCTGAGGCGCAGCCTTGTCTCTTGACTCTGCAGACGTCACAACTCTTCCCTGTCGGGTCTTGTTGCTGTTCTGAGTTTCTAGCTGGCTGTGTCTATGTCCACTTGCACGTTGCACGCTCTTACCTTCTCTTGTCAGCCGATTCTCCAGAATCTCTGCTTCCCAGTCAGCCCCTCCATCCCCTCTCTCCCTGATGGTGCTCCTTCCTCACGTGTGGCCTTGGCTCTGCCCCCTTCCAGCTCAGTGTCCTGCCCTAGCTCACCTACACTCTTCTGCCTTCAGAAAGTGAGCCCCATCTGCCCACTGAGCTCCACTCCTGCAGACCTGCAGAGTGTCTAAGCAGAGTGGCTTTCACATAAAGAAAGCTGTGGCTGTACCTGTTGAGCATTTTGCTTTGTGAAGTGCGTTCCAAGTTGTCACCCGGCAAGAAAGACTGTCAGTTGAAGAGTAGGACGACTCCAGTGCCTTAGCTCCCAAGTCCTCTTGGCCTTTCTGCTGTGGACCTGGCTCCCTGTCCTGTCTCTCCCTTCCTCCTCTGTCTCCTGCTTTATTCCCTTGGCTGGTGGGCATGACTCCACTTACCGTGTCCCAGACACAGGGTTGTGATGATGGTAACATCTGCTCTCAGCCAGCAAGGAGCACACAGTCCCCTGCCTTTTCTTCCTGGCTGTTCCTTTTTGTGCACCTTGTTGCTTCCACACGGGAACTGCCCATGGTGTGAAGGTTTTAGGGAAGCTGCTTTTAGAAGGAGTTTAATTATGCTCTGGAAGAATTGGAGGGGAGTTTGTTGTTTGCAGTGTGAAAGCTCTTTATTTCTCAAGAGCCTGCTGAAATTACTTTATTGAACATTTTGGTTCTAGTACGTGCTGGAAAAAAGTTCTTCTTGGAGAAGTAATTTCAGATGCAAATGAGAAGACAAGTTTGGATGTAGCCCAGAAAATATGCCATTATCTCCTAGAGGAAAGTTCTGCTATGCTTCAGAGGGTACGTTTCTAGAACATGACATCCTTTTCTTAAGCATTGTGACTGTGAAGTTATTTGTCTTATACATGTTATTAAAGATAGTAGATCTTTTTTTAAAAAAAATATTTTTTAGTTGTGGGTGGACACAATATCTTTCTTTTTCTTTCTTTCTTTCTTTCTTTTTTAATGTGGTGCTGAGGATCAAACCCAGTGCCTCATGTGTGCTAGGCTCTACCACTGAACTACAATCCCAGCCTGACAGTAGATCTTTTTAAGAGCATGTTTTATGTCTTAAATGTTGTAAATTCTAGGGCTGGGGTT